CTTTCGACTCTGTGGCAACATGGTGGAATATGCTGATATCCACCCACTGTCGGATTAAACTGACAGCCTTTCTGTGTAACTTTTTCCAATCGTCATCCTTCATATCATCTGGCTTGTTGTCTCCCTTTTCTACAGGATCGTACAGATCTTTGTAGAAAAGTTTGTCCTCCATTTTTGGCTTCCAAATGGAGTAATTTGTTGCTGTGAGCTTCACCATGATACCCACGTTCTCCTCCATTTAATTTACACGGGTCGATACAGAGCCCAACTTGATCTCTGATACCACTTGTTGGGCTCAGATGCGCAATGCGGAAGATGTAAATTAAAATATCAAGGTAAAATGGTAAACAATAATCCCAATCCCAGCAACTCAAGAATGACAAAAGAAATCTCTTACAATAAAACCGGAATAATTCTTTTTTGATGTGGAAGTTCAGATTAAACTGCGACCACAGAGCATACTAAGAATATCCCAAATAAATAAAATATGCAAGAAATAAGACACCAAGATTTAACGTGGAAAAACCTCCAAATAGAGGAAAAAACCACGGGACAACCTCCGAACAATTCCACTATATTTTCAAGATAATTACAATATCTTTTCACACTCCCTTACACTAGAAATGTAAAATATAGTGACCCAGTGAGAACCTCACTCCTAAACAAAGAGTAATAGAGTTGATACCCAACCCGGTGTATTTTTCCCACACTCACAGGATTTACTCAAACACTCTATTTTTATCTCACTGAAAAATAACACACACAGAAATATTATTTCTGTACTCTCCTGCTCTCTCTTTTTTTTCTTCTTCTGCTTGGTGCACCTTGCTTCTGCTGAATACCTCCCTATTTATAGGGATGAAATGCATGTGAACCGAGAGAAAAAAAAATCATTCAGCTCTTTCCTCTTTCTTTCCTCTCAATAATTGTTACCTGCTACCAATTTTTTATTTTTTTTTATTTTTTATTCTTATTGTGGTTTTGTTTGTTTGTGGTTGAACACCACATGACAATTTGGCTGGATATGACATGTTGCTGTCAGCTTTCTCTTATATCTTTTCTTGTTTCTGTTTTCGCTTCGTTTGATTTGATGTATATCAGACATTAGAATTGTAGACTTGTGGTTTCTCTGTCTATTTAGGACTTCCTTATATATAGGCTGGGGTCCGACATTAACCCCACCCAGAGGGGTGTTGTTTTTTCTTAAAAAAAAAAGTGTCTCTGTTCGTAATAAATTAAATAATTCGTCTTTAATCACGCCTCTTATGACTAGTGAAAACCTTTTTTTTTTTGAAAAATCAGTTTATGACGTTTCATGAAAAAAAAAAGAAAGAAAGAAAGAAAAAAAAAGAACAATCAGTATATAGTAGCTCACCTTTTATATAAAGAGATTGAAATTGAGTGATAAACCATTTCAAATGGAGTATTGAAATTGGACACTACTTCGTAAGTGTATATGTGAATGTTAAAAGATACAAACAAATGAATGCTTTGAGAATCTTACCCGTGACTGCAAATTTTATAGGGAACTTCGGAGGTGGAGTTTTGAGGGAGAAGGACGGAGAAGACTTGGTGCCACATTTGTAGTAATACACTATGCCCGGGTCCAATGGACCGATGACGACATTGTGTATCTCCCCCGACGTGTACTTGAGATAGTGGTACCTGTTGGGACTCCCGTGGCCGGATGAAAAGCTGAGATTCTCCGGTGATTTGCCGTAGTAAACGATCGCTGGCGTATGCAGTGAGGTCGTCCATGTTACTCGCATGTGGTTGGGCCCACACAATGAAACCCGGACCTGCATTGCCTTTTAATCGTATCAATCGACTTAATAAAACATCAATTGTGTCAAAAATTGGATTATATAAAGTTACCTATTGTGGTGACTTGATCGAAATGGGCCGTGAAGCCTGATCAAAATAGGAAAGAGCTCCACAAATTCTCATGAAGGCCATAGTTAGAAATATTGAAGTATAAAGTATTGAGTCAAGTGTTTGTGTCATCGCCAAAAGAAACAGAAGGCAATTTGCCGGAAGTTAATATTATGCTTGAAGAATCATGCATAACGGAAAACGAAGAGAAGGAAACAAAGAAAAGAAAAATATGTTTATGTTATAGTAAAAAGGTAATCAAGTCATTGAAAAAAAAAAGTTGCCTTCATCCGTAATTAATATTAATTGCTTGTGACATTAATTTGTATTTATCTCTTTCTTTAGAAATGTCTTCATGCGCTTTGGCTATACATCATTGTTGGTGAAACGGGTTCATGGATATCGCGAATCTAATTTTGTTGCCGATTGCATGGGCGCCGGCGTTGCCGCACGTAGCCCGGGAGGTTTACACCTATTGGATGAGCCACCGACTGAAGCTCGACAATGGCTACATCATGATCTTATCGGGATCTCTTACCCACAAAATGTTCTAATCACTAGTACCTAGGCTTTTACCTCTCTTCTCTGT